TTATTATTTCAGATATAGTATTGTATCAATATCAACATAAATTGGGCTAGATAGGCCTATCTAACAATGAAGTACCGTATCACAATTAACAGACGGCACTCATGAGGAAAGTACAAGAGCTTGGCACAGGTCAAATATTTTTACACAAGGATGATATGGAGTACTTGAGTAAAGTGAATTAGGCAGGCTAAATAGGCAAGTGCTACAGAATAATTCTAGGTAAGCTAGAATTGGGTCCTCATGTGGGAATGTCTAATATGTCTGCCTCAGTTCATGACGATGCCTGTTCTTTTGGAAAACTGTGGACTAGACAAAGCTCATGCCTCTACAACGTGAAATAGTAAGCAGATCAACGAGTTGACTATTTACGTTGACTAGCAATCCGGCGTAAGCATAGCCACTAGGCCTATATAGTGCTTACGCCAGCCCTGTGCATGCTCAGTATACCTTATTCGGCGTAAGCATAGCCTCTAAATAATGCTTACGCCACCCCTGCGCATGCTCAATAGATCGGCGTAAGCATAGCTTATGACTAATGCTTACGACTCGGCGTAAGCATAGACACTTCCTTATTTTTAACTATTTAAACAAATGCCAAAAGAAACTTGTACGTCACTTAGGCCCTCCAACATGGCGTCGTAGGCCTCACTTTTTATGTACCAGGATTGACCGATGAGCAATCCAGCCATTATGGTAGAGATCAGTGGCCTAGGCATACTAGGCCGTAGGCCTACCCTAGGCCTAGATTAAAGTCGCCGCGCTAGGCCTAGGCCTAGGTCAGGTGTAACTCAACAAAAAGAAAATAGCCTAGCATTTAAACAGTATGTAAAGGACACAATTTTTAAAATATATACAAATTTACCATCGTATATTGTTACACAAGCTTTTTTATCCTCTGTTGTAACTTCTAGTCTCAGTTGCTTTTCAGATCGTCGGGAAATTTCACCTTGATCGGTAAGTGATCTCAACTTCACCTCGTCGAAAACCAGCGCCATATTGATACTACTGTACGATCAAAGATGAATGAAAAGGGAAAAAAAGAGTTGCCGTTTTTTGTTTGCACGTGAAATAAAATACGTAACGTGCAGTCCGGCATGATTTTCTCTCATAACAAAATTTGTAGACCAAAAAGAAAAAAAAACTTAAAAATAAATAGGCCTATAGCAACTTTAAAGACAACATGGTCAACAGACAGTATATTATTAAAGTTCATCAAATGGCAAAAATTACAACATTCAACAGACAAAGAACAAGATGCCAGGTTATTATAAAACAACTAATTTCCAATGGGACCCCGAGCGGGGTCCACTTGCCTGTCATAAGGTTCGCTATTTATAAGGTCCAGATAATTGTTTATAAGGTTCAGTATTCATAATTTTTTTTAAAAGTCCACTATTCATAAAGCTCATTATTTATAAGGTTCGCTAATTATAATAGAATAACAGGTTCGCTAGTCATAATAAAGGGTTCATTACTCATAAGCAAGAAAAGAGTTCGTTATTTATAATAGAAAAATAGGACCGTTAGTCATAAGGTTCGCTATTCATAATAACAAAAAAAAAGAGGTTCGCTATTCATAATATAAAAAAAAGAAAAGAGGTTCGCTATTCATAATTTTTAAAATGAAAAGAGGTTCGTTATTCATAATAAAAAATAAAAGGTTCCTATTCATAATAAAAAAAGAGGTTCGCTTGTTATGATAAATAAAAGATGTCGCAGCCATAGAAAAAAAAGGTTCGCTAGTCATAATATAAAGAGGTCCGCTATTCATAATAAAAAAGGAGCCCCAACCTAGTACAATTTAATTGTAATACTTTTTTAAATAATTCTTTAAATAATAGTAAGTCAACAAACGGATTTTTTTTAATATCCGAAGCTTTTAAAATGTAAGTATATAAATATATAAAATTTTTTAATAAAGTCTATATTTAAACAACACGTAAAATATTTGAATTAATAACTGTAACTATTAAATATAATTTAAAACCACACTTGAAGCAGTTGTTTACAAGGTCTACGTTGAAAGTTATGTGAAGTACTACATATACTCATCTCCATTTCAATGCTCACCACCCCTCTCCCCTTCGCTTGTTTCCTGAATAAAGAGTTACGAAGTATCCGTACAAAGTCAAGGAAGTTGTACTAGTAAGCCCTACAAGTCAAACAGATATAAGCATGCATATATATATCTGTCTCTTATACACATCTAGATGTGTATAAGAGACAGGTCTCCAATAACCTCTGCCCCACCATGGTTGGAAGCTGAGGTCAGACAATTTTGTAAAATTTACACGTCTAGATACTCGGAAATAGCACTCAAGTTCTTAATTTCGTTAAATTTCTATTTATCACTTTGCTAAGGGCTTATGACGCTCGCCTTGACAGCGAGAGGTCGCGGGTTCGCCAGAAAGATTTAATTAATAATTTTTTTATTCATTTATTTATAGGAGTATATTCGTTGAGAGCTATTAGTAGAGGACCTCACTAAGATTTGTATGCACTTCATTTAGGAGAGAATTTCTCAACTGTTATAGACCATAGAAAAAATAGAAATTGAGCCTGGGCGCTTATGGAAATAGATGAATGAGGGGGTGCTTATTGGAAGTTGGAAAATTCAAGAGATAAGACCTATATGGGATGGACATCTGAAAAACGAAGATAAACGAACAGTTCTGGTTCAGAAAAGATAATCGTCCAGATGAAATTAGTGGTGCAAATTGTCGGAAACCTGAGAAAAATAGAAGTACACGGTAGGAAAAGTAATTACCTGCCGATTCGTTGCTAGATTAAGAAGGAGAATATACTGTCCATCAGAAAGCTCACCCATTAGAAATATTCTCATTTTGGAATTGACATAAGAAGAAAATGTGAATCCACACCGCAGCTCAAATCATCCAACAACCACAGTCCCAGAATTGATTTGATTATTGACTTGCTAGGGGAAAAAAATCACATGATGAAAAAATGAATAAAAATATTCAAGATTTTTACATACGAGAGTTTTCTGGCCAGTTTACCTTTGTTGACTGAAAAAACAACTCTGTATGCTCATAAAGTATTTTAATTTTAGATATTAAATACTGTAGTTCTAAATCCAAAAATGATGTACAGTACAGGGGAGCCATAAAACTAGAAGGATTCTGATGCATCAAAACTGGGCGCTTACTCGCGCGAGTACGGTTTGCATTGTTTTGTTTGTTTTATTGGTTTACCACATACAGAACAATACAATTAAAACGAATAAATACACTGTATTAAAAAGAAATTATATAAGTAATAGCCTAAATAGCCTAAGAGTGTTTCGTGAGTGAGCAAAAAAAAAATTTTGACAAGTTATGGCCACAAGTCAAACAATAGGCCTAGTTGTAATACTAACAATAATAATAGTAATCGTAGTTTAACATAAAATAAATAAATAAATAAATAAATAAATAAATAATAAATTTGTATTGCAATACTAACAATAATAATAGTAATCGTAGTTTAACATAAAATAAATAAATAAATAAATAAATAAATAAATAATGAATGAATGAATGAATGAATGAATGAATGAATGAATGAATGAATGAATGAATGAATGAATGAGTGAATGAATGAATGAATAAATAAATAAATAGTTGTAATAATAAAAATAATAATAGTAATAATAGTTGTTTAAAAAAATAAATAAATAATTTAAAAAAATAAATAAAATGAAATAAAAAAAATAATTAGGTCTGGATTACAAAACAAAGTTAGGTTTTTATATAAAAAAGCAGTATTCTTTACAGATTAGGTAAATTATAAAATGACATTAAAGATAAAATAAAGACACAGTGACCGCAAATGCGTATTATTTTATTACACAACACGTACATACACATACATACACACACATACATACACAATGGTTTGCAGACACGGTGTCTTTAAAAATAAGTAGTCAGAAACGTAGTAGGAGGCTTAGTTGCCATATGCCGAGACCAGAGATATTTTAATATTATATTTGAAAGAAAAAAGTGTGGGTATGGATTTTAATTTATTGTTTAGTAAATTCCATAAGTTAGGACCATTGTAAAACCTGTCTCTTATACACATCTAGATGTGTATAAGAGACAGCCTATATAGTGCTTACGATTCTAGCATATTAAAAGTAAAAATGTAAATAAATTCATATTAATCGATATCATTACAAATAATAGTAATTAATAAGATAATTATTATATATTAATATTGTAGTCACTGGTAGCCAAATATTCTACCAAAGAATGGCTAATAATATTAGTAATAATAATAATAATAATAACAATAAAAATAAAAATAGTAATTTAAAAAAAAATAAATAAATAAATAAATAAATAAATAAATAAATAATGAATGAATGAATGAATGAATGAATGAATAAATAAATAGTTGTAATAATAAAAATAATAATAGTAATAATAGTTGTTTAAAAAAATAAATAAATAATTAAAAAAAATAAATAAAATGAAAAAAAAGAATAATTAGGTCTGGATTACAAAACAAAGTTAGGTTTTTATATAAAAAAGCAGTATTCTTTACAGATTAGGTAAATTATAAAATGATATTAAAGATAAAATAAAGACACAGTGACCGCAAATGCGTATTATTTTATTACACAACACGTACATACACATACATACACACACACCCACACACACACACCTACACACACACACATACATACACAATGGTTTGCAGACACGGTGTCTTTAAAAATAAGTAGTCAGAAACGTAGTAGGAGGCTTAGTTGCCATATGCCGAGACCAGAGATATTTTAATATTATATTTGAAAGAAAAAAGTGTGGGTATGGATTTTAATTTATTGTTTAGTAAATTCCATAAGTTAGGACCATTGTAAAACATTGATTTTTTTTTCTGAAAAGAGATGCGTGTTTTTCAGACAAGACATTACGGTACTTTTAGAAAATCTGGTGCTGTGATCATGTATATCAGATTGTTGTTTGGGAAATAAAGAAATAATATGATTGGGTAGTGTGTTGTTTTTAAATTTAAACATAAATATGTAACTTTGTATTTTGTTTAAATCAAAAACATTAAGAAAATTAAATTTATGAAATGAGATTTTAGTATGCGATAAATAAGATGTCCCTGCACAAATCCTAACGGCACGTTTTTGTGAATTAAATATTATTATTGTATTGGTTGCTTCCAGTCTTGTCCAGGGACATTGATAAAGGAATTTATTAGTTGTGGTAGCCCATGACATATTGCAATAATTAATATTATGGCAAAACTAATGTATTATATAATGATAACAAAATATGTTGTGGAAGATAATATTTTAATTTACTCATGACTCCAATATTTCTAGAAAGAAATATTATTACGTTGAGGTTGCCAAGATATTTTATAGGCTAAATAACACCAAGAAATTTACTTGTTTGATTAAATTATTATCAATTTTAATTGTGTGCGAGCCACTACTCTTTATTTTATGATTAAAAAGAATAAAATTTGTTTTGGAAACGTTAAGAGACAATTAATTTAACTTAAACCAGGTAGATATTTTTTTTTAATTCAATATTAATCCTTTTAAAATTCAGTTTTGTTTTTATGTGAATAAAAGATATTAGTGTCATCTGCAAAAAGAACAAAATTTAAAAGTGATGAGGAATTAGGAAGATCGTTGACATAAATTGAAAATAATAAGGGACCAAGAATAGAACCTTGGGGGACCCCAGATGTAATATTACGTGATGTAGAATGAAAATGATAACGGTAATTATTTTCTTTTTTTTATTACCACTCTATAATATTAATACACAGAGATAGGATAAAATAGTTATTTAGGTTTCAAGGTTGTATGCATAAGGACCGGTTTTTTTTAATAGGTGAACCAAAGGTTTTTACACATCTTTAATCCGCGTACGTTTAGGGTTAGGCCTACATTTTACATTTTTTTATTTCATATTCTGTGTTTAAGTAATATGTCATTTTTATTTTTTTTAAGCAACTACCAAACTAAATTTCATTGTTCACTTATTTGTTCTATGACAATAAAGTAGCCATATTCTTGATTCTTTATACATTTTATAAAAATAATAGCAAATATTTATAAAACGCCAATTCAAAATTTAAAGGCGCTAAATGAGGAAGGTTTTGGAAAAAGCAAATTACACGAATCACAACTCTGGAATTTCACAGGCCTAAAGGGACTTGAAAGAAGACACTTAATTGAAGGTTTTGCCTTTCGAGACAGGGCTGTCAAGAGGATTTTTAGAACGAAGATGGAGGAATAGCAGGTAAGGTAGGCCTAAGTTTTTAAATAGACAGGTTGATAGGTACAGTACTTAAAAATAGTATGTTGTTTTGAGCCAGTGTAGACTCTGGTTTTATGGGATGATGACGAGATGTTAGGGAAAAGAATACGAGCAGCAGAATTTAGGGCCAACGTTTTATTACACGAGGA